GGTAGAATTCGGGTCATGATAGTCAGGGGGTAGGGGGAGCATTTAGGAACTAGAGGAAAGTTGTGTTTTTCATTGTTGCTACATTGCACCCTGTCTGGCTCATCTCCTCCCTGAGACCCCTCTGCAAGGGTATCTCCAGTGGCCTACTAATGGGCTTTGGGTCTCCACTCCGCGCTTCCCCCCTCATTCACTATGGTAAGATTTTTTGTTCTGATGATGCCTGATACCTGATCCCTTTGACACCTTGTGATCGCACAGGCTGGTGTGCTTCTTCCATGTGGGCTTTGTTGCTTCTGAGCTAGATGGCCGTTTGCTTACCTTCAAGCCTTTACATTTTCTTCTTTCTTATACTCATCATTATTAGCTCCCCCACTTCCCCTCAACCTCCCCTGCTGCGCACACCCCTGCCACACCCCTAAGAAACCATTGATCCAGTTACTGTGTCTATAGATTTGCCTATCCTGGATTTCATGTACAGAAAAAGAGAACAAAATAAAACCCCAAAACTAACAACAATAACAAAGTAAAACAAAAAAAGAAAGTAGAAAATATTCAAGACTAGAACAACTTTAAAATAAATCAGAAAGGAGATCAAATGATAAAGTGTTCAATTTTACTCTAGCGGCAACTGCAATAATCCACTTTCCAATACTCGTCATGACAGCAAGGCTGCTCACCGCCCTGGTCTATGGTCAGAGGGGATTCACCAGAGGCTTACTCCATGTTTACTTCCCCTTCACTAAACAAAAAACAAAAAAAACTGAACTAACTTTAAAATGAGTCAAAAGGGAGATCAAATGATATTATATTTGAACCTAGCTACATCTGTCTGATAACAAAGTAGTTCACATCCTTGGACTATCCTCAGAGGGAATTCACCCGAGCCTTAATCCATATAAATGGATTCTGGGATTCCACTGTCATCCATAGCCTTCAGTAAACCAGGTGTTCACAATGTAAGCTCTGATACCATTCCCTCCTTTGGATTTGGATTTTATAATTTGCAATCCTCAGATCACACACACACCAGGTGTGCTTCTTCCGTGTGGACTTAATTGATGCCTCACTTAGATGACCCCAGATGCTATACTTTCTAATAGCTGGGCACCATCTAGTTTCTTCACCACACTTTGCTCGAGCACCAGTATCTTCAGTGATATATTTGGGAGGTCAAGCATCAAACAGGACCAGGTAAAATGAACTGTGCTTAGATTGGGCCTAGAATCAAGTGGAGCAGGCTCTTAATGCCACTCTGATACCTTTTAGACCAATGGCTGTAATATGTTAAGGTGGAAAGAAGAGCACAGGGTCCTGTTGGAATAAGAAAAAAGTGCAGAAAAGGGAGGCATGATGGAGTTTAAGAAAATCCACAGTGTCAAAGAGAATTGGTTCCCAAGGCAGCAAAGAGACAGCTAGCATTGCAGATGATGACTGGAAATGGTCTAGCACCACTGTACATATATGTACTCAACTTAGAGTAGCAGAAACAAGCTAGGTAAATATGTAGGGCTAAAGAACAGTTTACCCAAAGCCCCAGCCTTGGAGAGATCATTTGCTTTTTTTTGTTTGTTTGTTTTGTTTTGTTTTTGAGATCATTTGCTTTGATAGCACAACTAACTCCATATCCTCTACCACTTTCCAGAACCATGGGTCCAGAGGCCCTGGTGTTTGCCCTGGCCGTGGCTGGTATCCTGGCACTACAGACCCTGGCAGTGGTCGAGCCCACACCATGGCCCTTGCGCAGCAAGGCTGGGGTATTCGCAGACCTGAGCACTGAGGAGCTGAAAGCCGTGCGCGATTTCCTTTGGTCCCAGAGGGAGCTGGCGCTGGTGCCTGCCAAAGCCTTGACCACCTCTAAGAACTCCATCTTTCTCATTGAGATGCTGCTGCCCAAGAAGCAACATGTGCTGAAATTTCTGGACAAAGATGAAAGGCGTCCTGTCCGGGAAGCCCGCGTGGTCATCTTCTTTGGAGCCCAGGAGAAGCCCAATATCACTGAATTTGCAGTGGGCCCCCTGCCGTGGCCTTATTATAAGCGAGAGTTGCCCCCCAGGCCAGGGCACCACCCATCCTGGACTTCTAGGCCCATTTCCAGTGTTGAGTACATCCTCCTGAACCAAGTCCTGCAAGAAGCCACCAAGCCTCTGCACCAGTTCTTCCTCGACACCACGGGCTTCTCCTTTCAAAACTGCCGCAACCGGTGCCTGACTTTTACTGACGTGGCGCCCCGTGGCCTGGCTTCTGGCCAGCGCCAAAGCTGGCTGATCCTGCAGCGAGATGTGGAAGGCTATTTCTTACACCCCACTGGGTTGGAGGTCCTCGTGGATCACGGGAGCCCAGATGCCCAAGACTGGATGGTAGAGCTGCTGTGGTACAATGGGAAGTTCTACAAGAGCCCAGAAGAACTGGCCCGCAAGTACGCCGCAGGGGAGGTGGATGTGGTCCTTCTAGAGGACACAGGGCCCCAGGAGAGCAAGGAGCGCCCCTTCTTCTCCTCCTACAAGCCCCGTGGGACCTTCCCCATGCCCGTCACTGTGCACGGGCCTCGCCTGGTGCAGCCCCAGGGCCCCCGGTACCGACTAGAGGGCAACGCTGTGCTGTATGGGGGCTGGAGTTTTGCTTTCCGGCTGCGCTCCTCCACCGGGCTGCAGGTCCTAGACCTGCGCTTCCAAGGGGAGCGCATCGCCTACGAAGTGAGTGTGCAGGAGGCGGTGGCTATGTACGGGGGGCACACGCCAGCAGGCATGCAGACCAAGTACATCGATGTCGGCTGGGGCTTAGGCACGGTCACACATGAGTTAGCCCCTGGCATCGACTGCCCAGACACGGCCAGTTTCGTGGATGCCTTCCACTACTATGATGCTGACGGTCCCACACACTACCCCCGGGCCCTCTGCCTCTTCGAGATGCCCACAGGGGTGCCCCTTCGGCGGCACTTTGATTCCAACTTCAGCGGAGGCTTCAACTTCTATGCGGGCCTGAAGGGTCAGGTGCTGGTGCTGCGAACCACTTCTACCGTCTACAATTACGATTATATTTGGGACTTCATCTTCTACCCCAACGGCGTCATGGAAGCCAAGATGCATGCCACCGGCTACGTCCACGCCACCTTCTACACCCCTGAGGGGCTGCGCCATGGCACGCGTCTGCACACCCACTTGATTGGCAACATGCACACTCACCTGGTGCATTACCGCATCGACCTGGACGTGGCAGGTAGGACTGAAGCGGGGAGCAGCTCGGGATCCTGTGGTCCGGCTGCCTTCCGGGGCAGGGATACCCAGACTTTTGATGCATCAAGCCATAGCATTTATCCAGCCTGCTTTGGGAACCCCTGCAATGCTAGATGTTGTTGTGCCCAGAAAGGGGGTGAGAGTTAATAGTGCCAACTTGGGGACCCCAGACATGACCTGGGGAATTGTCTTCTCACTCAAAGCTGCTCTCCCCCTGTGTGAGCAGCTGAGGAAGCAGCCCTGATGCACAGCAATCCCATGCCCAACAGAACAAATGCTGCCCAGCCCGTGCCATGCCCAGGAGGCCTGTGCCAAGCCCAGGAGCCGCTGTGCCTGGTTTTCACTGTCTGATTTTCAGACGTAGGTTGCTAGGCCTCTCTTCCTAGTCCATCTTAGTCTAGAGGCTCTGCTCAACCCAGGTGAGCATCACGGCAAGACCCAAACCTCCCTGAAAGCAGGTGGCAGCCCTGTTTGAGGTGCATTGATCAGGAATTGAGCCCAGGTGTCTCACAGGAAAGGCAGGCATTCCAGCATGGAATTACAACTGCCTGAGGATTAGCTAGAAATGTGTACTCAGAATGTTGAATCATTCATACCAGTAGCTCCACAGAAGTGCTACCCAGAATCACTGCAGACTCGCCACAGCTGCCCTGACAACATACATAGCCTTCTAGTTCCTCGTGATGTGTTTGGCCCCTGAAGCCCCACACCCAGCTCAGCACACACCCCGCAAAACTCTCTACCCCTAGTGGTGGCTGCCTTGGGATGTCGTTCATGATGGCAATTCCAGGGCATCGTGAGCTCATGGGCCAGGTCAGGATTTCCATCTTCATTCTCCTCTTGTTCCGTGCACCTCCAGGTACCAAAAATAGCTTCCAGACGCTGGGGATGAAGCTACAGAACATCACCAACCCCTGGAGCCCAGGACACCACGTGGTGCAGCCCACTCTGGCACAGACCCAGCCCCACCACGAGCGCCAAGCTGCCTTCCGCTTCAGGCGGCCTCTGCCCAAGTACCTGCTCTTCAGCAACCCCGAGGAAAACGCCTGGGGCCACAAGCGCAGCTACCGAGTGCAGATTCACTCCATGGCCGACCAAGTGCTGCCCTGGGGCTGGCAGGAGGAGCAGGCTATCACCTGGGCCAGGTGAGTGGTGGGGTACATGGGGAGGAGGAGGTGGGACTCCTTTCGGGGAGTCTGTGGGTCCACATAGCCACCCACGTGTGTGTCTTCGTGTGTCTGTGTGTTCGTGCCTGTGCTTCTGCCTGTGTGTGAACTCAGGCCACCTGGATACGTTCACCTGTTGTGTGAGTGTGCATTGGGGGAGCAGGGTGAAGACCCCCATGCTGCTAACAGTGGCCAACACACTGACCCTCCGGAGATAAGCTATAAATTGGGGAAGGCGGTAACTTTCCCCCATCGTTGATCCTAAAGACGCCTCCTGGGAGAGAATGGAACACACCCCACCCCCAGCCCCCAGATCCAGAGCCATCTGGAAGGTACCTCTCTGGCCCTGCAGGTACCCTCTGGCAGTCACCAGATACCGGGAGTCTGAGCTGTATAGCAGCAGCATCTACAACCAGAATGACCCCTGGAACCCGCCTGTGGTTTTTGAAGAATTTCTTAGAAATAATGAGAAGATTGAAAATGAGGTACTGACCCTACCACCAGCCCTGCTCAACTCTTCACCTGCCTCCTCCAGCTCTAGTTCCCAATCCACCTCCCTAGTAGGGAGTCCCACTCTCTGCTTGGACCTACCCTAACTCCCAACCCCGGGATAAGGCGGGGAGAACATGCCTGGAGATCCGTATAGAGAATCCAGCTCTCAAATGGGGTTGAAGAGCTATAGAAAGTTCTAGACCTGCAGAAACATGCCTAAGAGCCACAGCAGTCTCTAGTGGTCAGAGCCCAGCACAGTCCCTACTGATCCAAGCTCCTTTCTTCTCTCTGTGCCACCCATCTGCCACTCCCTTTCTTCCACAGGACCTAGTGGCCTGGGTAACAGTTGGTTTCCTCCACATCCCTCACTCAGAAGACATTCCCAATACGGCCACACCTGGAAACTCTGTGGGCTTTCTCTTGCGGCCCTTCAATTTCTTCCCAGAAGATCCATCCTTGGCCTCCAGAGACCCTGTGATTGTATGGCCCCAGGACAGAAGCCCCAATTATGTCCAGCGCTGGATTCCTGAAGAGGCAGGGGACTGTTGGGCATCTCCCCCTTTTAGCTACAATGGAACGTACAGGCCGGTGTGAAGGCCTGACAATAAACCCTCTTGATCATCCGACCAGTGCTGCTTCCTTCGGGGGAGGTAGGCAGATTGAGAGATGTGAATCCACAGACTATCAGTCACTCGGGCTCCACTCACACCTAGTCCATTCCAGCCCCGAAAAGACCTCTGGTGCTACCTAAACCACAGCCCCACTGCGTTTTGACGATCAAATTGGTACCCAAAAGGACAACAAGCAAGCTAAGGCTACCAGCCCATTCTGGGTGGCTATGGGAAGATGTTTTGCGCTGCTGCTGGGCATGCAGAGTGGTGTCGATGCTGCGTCTCCAGGTGGGTGCATTCCTCCCTGTGAAACTAAAACCTCCAGACCCCAAGAGCCTAGGCTTTTAGAGCCAGGAAGAAAAACTTAATGAGAGCGGATCCTTAGGAGTAATGCCCCTCCCATTCCTGGGCCCACGAACCCTAGCTACGGGAGAAACAACACCACATATTAGACACTGATTTAGAGCATATACAGCCCCAAACCTGCAAGGTGTTGTCACCAAGGTGGCACCACAGTGGTGGCTCGAGAAGTCCATCCCATCATTCTCTCAAGCGTCTGCGTCAGGGTGATAGGGAACATGGCAAGACTAGTGGGTTCCATGAGCACGGGCCCGTTGCCAGCTTTCATTTGCTGTGAAATGAGACCCTTGATCTGAGGCAATGCTGTGCGGGATACCATGTCTCAAAGTCCACGAAGGGTATTTTTGGGCAGAAGCATTGAGCGCAGGGCAAGCAAAGCCATATCCAGAGTACGTATCTATTCCAGTAAGGACAAGATGATGCCTTTTCCATGAAGGAAGTGGCCCTGTGTAACCCACCTGCCATCAGATTGCTGGCTGATCCCCCTGAGGAATGGTCCCGTATCTTGAACTAAATGTCAGTCTCTGCTGCTGGCAGATGGGGCACTCAACAGTGGCAGTAGCCAAGTTAGCCTTGGTGAGGGAAGTCCATGTTGCTGAGCCCATACTTGGCCTCCATCCCTGACACCACGGCCACTTTGTTCATGTGCCCATTGGACAAGGAGAGGAGTGGGGGGATAAAAGGGATAGCTGGGTTTCACAGAACAGCCATCCAGTCCACTTGATTGTTAAAGTCCCCTGCAGAAGTTAGCTTTGGTGAGCATTCTTATGAGACACAAATAGCTTCACTTTTTTGGCCCATTCAGAGAAGTCTGTCCACATAGATATTTTCCATTGCCTCAAAAGCACGTGAAAGTTGGACATGGAATAAGGAAGATGGAAAAGAACAGATTCACTTGAATTGTGGTGCTGCTGGAGTTGAGTGCATAGTCAATAAAACACAAGCAAATATTGTCCAGGTGTCAACGAATGACATCCTTCTTTCTATGTCCTCTTCTGAATCCAGCTTGAATTTCTGGCATCTCCTTGTCAATGTACTACTGCAATTGATTTTTAATTATCTTCAGCAAAATTGTACTTGTAAAAGATATGAATGATAGTACTTGCTAATTTCCACGTTCCATCGGATCACTTTTCTTTGGAAGGGGCACAAATATGAATCTCTTCCAAGGGGTTGGTCTTCTGCTTTTCTTGTCCTGGACTAGTGAGTACTTTCTGCCTTGCATCAGTTGTTGAAACATTTCCATTGGTATATCATTAGTTCCTGGAATCCTGGTTTTTTGCTAATACCTTCTGTGTAGCTTGGACTTCTTCCATCAGCACCCTTGGTCCTTGATCTCCTGCTGTCTCTTGAAATGTTGGAACATCAATCAATTCCTTTTGACACAATGACTCTGTGTTTCTTCCATCTTCTGTCGATGCCTCTTGCATCATTTGCTATTACTAGGATACTTAGAAGCAGAAAGGAACCCTGGTGGTATAGTGGATTACACATCGGGCTGCTAACAGCAAGGTGAACGGTTTGAGCCCACCCACGGCTCTGTGGGAGAACATGTGGCTTTCTGAGTCCATAAAGATTTACAGCCTTGATATATGGAAATATATTTATATGTGAAAATAGATCTATGTACATATATTTA